TATACGAGGCCCTCCGGGCCAGTACCGAAGGAGAAGGGGGGGGTATTATGATGGGTTGAACCCAGAAGGAGGCTCGGTTCTGACGAACCAGCGCCAAGACTAACGACAGGACTAACGCCACCTCCTGATTGGCTAAATTTGCCTGTACATTATACAGGTAAAATGCCGCCTCCTGATTAGACGAGGCACGTACCGTGTAAGGGATACCGAATCCTGGCAAACTAAGACACCGTACGTAAGGGAAGGTAAGGAAGAGAGACAAAAGGCACGGGAAACGCAAGGCGTGTACGAAAGAGGAAGGACAAGGGAGAAAGGGGAAGACAATGAGTATCCCTTACGGAAGAGCGTACGATATAAGGAGAGAAGGAGGGGACATTATTCCTCCTTCTCTCTCCTCAGATTTATCCTCCTTATTACTAGGTTAGCTAGCTAGTTACAGAACTCTTTCCAAACCCTCACAGTACCTAGGCCTTTACCTAGTCGATAATAGAGTTATACCTTTTTAACTATAATATACCGAGTATAATATTATATTTCGTCTCCGCGACGTCGAGGATGATCTCTTCGTAGTGCTCGTCGATTAATAATAGAACTCTTCTTAGTTTATATATAACGTTAGATAGTACCTCTCCGGTAAATCCTAATAGTTTATAGGATATATCTTTCTCTCTCTTCCACTCCGTTAGTTTATTAGCTATCCGGTAGCTAATAATGTTACCGGTACATCCTAAGTCGATAAGGATATATACTTCTTAATCTCTTAAGGTCCTATATAGGATGATTAAATACGAGTAAGTCGCTATAGCTATCCTATATAGTAGCTTAGGTTAATCCCTAGTTACGCTTTCTCTACGAGCCCTCTTTCGCCTACGCTTTATTAGAGCTTTCTTTCCTTAGGCGGCCTACTCCTTAGGCCGTCCTTAACCTAGTTTTTTAGTTAATATAGGTAATCTATCCTCCCGTCTCGGAGGTCGGATACCTCGTAGTTTTAGTCCCTATACCGCTTAACTAATAGTTAGTGTACTTCTCGGGCTTCTTCGATAGACATCCCTAACTCTTTAGGTTATAGATAGTCTAGATACTATATATAATAGTAGGGTATATTTCTTAACGGGCATCTCGTAACTTCTCTATAAGTAAAGTTACCCTTTATTAATACTCCGTCTAGTATTTCGTCTACCTAGGGGACTAAAATACCTCTTTCTCTATAGATACGGTATACTTCCAGGACTCTATCGTCGCTCTATCCTAGTATTCTAGCCCTCTCTCGGCGCTCCCTAATAACTCGCCGTTCTTCTAGGACCCGTACTATAAGTCCTACCATTTCTTAGAGGGTCTCCTCTCGCTACTCTAGAGTTCCCCTCGCTTTAAGGTCTCGCATTCTCTATACGACCTAGACTACTTCTTCGTATAATCGTTCTAGTATCGTAAGTATTATCGGGTATTCGTAATCTACTTCCTATTCTTCCGGGTCGAACCTATCTACTATATTTATTATCGGTTCTAGCTGACTTTCCTCGATTTTATACATATATTATGTTTCTAGGTCTCCGCCCTAATGTAAGTAGATATAGCCTTCTCTCTCTCTATTTTAAGAGCATTTAGGATCTTTACATAAAATAATCGAGAAGATCCTTTCTCGCGGTTTTAGTTCTTCCGTAGGCTCGTAGTAAGTATAATAGTATTAGAATATAGTTCCTTTCGGGTACGTTAGGTCTACGCACTCCTTATTATTCTAGTATCTAGTCTTTACGTAGATCTTATTAGGCGTAATTACGAGGATAACTACCTTTTAGTAGTCTACTATTTCTCCCGCGTTTACTACATTCGCTTCGGGCTTTATCTCTAACCTTTTCGCCTATTTATTTTTATTAAGTTCTATAGTATTAGCTTACTTCTTTAGGCTTTTATAGTCTCTTACGTAGTGCCCCGGTTTTCCGTAGTTATAATAAATTTCGTTATTCTTTAGCCCCGTAGCCTTCTTACCCTATCTAGGGTCTTTACTTTAAGTAGAGCCTCGCTTTTTCTAAGCTTAATCGAGGTCTATAGGTATAGGTCCGTAATACGGTTACCTTAGTTTCTTCGTATTAGATTTTTATCCTCTAACTACGAATCCGCGTCGGTAGTTATCGTAGCGTTTATATTCTTAGTAGTCGTTATCTACTTAGATCGCTTCGTTAATCTAATCCTCGATTCTCTTACTTTTATACGTCCTTATCTCCTATTTAATCGCTAGCTTAAGACCTTTACGAAAAATAGGAACTAATACGCCGTCGCCCTATTCTAGTTCTATATTTAGGGTTCGGAATTTTATAGCGTAATCCTAAACTAAGCCCGTTTAGCGTAAGTTTATAATCTATCGCTCTACTTCTTTTTCTTCGTCTCTAGCTCCGAACACTTTTCGAACTTTTTCTTTAAACCTCTAGAAGGTTTAAAACAGCTTAATAGTTTTATCCTCCCTATCGTCGGGTTAGTTCTTCATGTAGTCTTTAATAAACGGGCGAAGCTAGGCCTCTACCCCTACCTCGAAGTAGCTTCCTATAAATAGGATCTTCTATATGTCACTTAGAAAGTCTCCTAGGTTCATTAATAAGTATATATCTATATAGTGAATGAAGGGTGTAAGTTTCTCCTACGCTCTATTAAAGGGCTTAGGTAGGTTTCTAATCTTACCCTTAGGTATCGGTTCCGTAATAGTAGTGACGACTAATAGCGTTAGCCCTAGTATACTAGGGTTAAGAGTACTTAGTCCTACCATCGTATCGTTTAGGGATAGTCGGGATGCCTATCGTATAAGGAGTTCGTCCGTTAGGGATGTAGGTCTTACTTATTTTCCGTAACTACTTATATAGGTCGTTACTCGTACCGATGGATAGTAGCTAAAGTATCAGAGCTGCTTCCTATATAGCCTAACGGGGCTAGGCTTCCTTAGTTACAGTCCTTATATTATATGAGCTAGGTCGAGATAACGTAAGGTATGAATAGTTAGATGACTTTAGAATAGTATAGTAAAGTAGATGTCATGAGTTAGCTACGAGAGAGTGTAACTATAAAAGGGTAATGAGCGTAGCTATATACTTATAAGGCGTATCCCGAATAGGTAACTAGGAATAGTATGTTAATATGTTGATATAGTCTATACTAACATACCACTATATCATAAGTTTCCCTTTTTAGTAGTTACGTGCGGTACGTGACCTAGCCTTACGTCTATCAGGCCGCCCCGACCCGGCAGACCTACCTCTGGGCGCCCAGCGCTCTAGGTCATATGAAGGCCGTTTCTAACATGATAGATAACTAGCCTATAGATAGAGATGTCAACGCTTGAAGAGGCTTCAAGGTTAACAGGTACGACCCCTCTTGCTATATACATGCGGTAAGCCAGCTACTTGGCTGGCGGCCTAACTCCTTGGTTGGTGGCCTGAGCCGAGTGTCCAGTGTCACGTGGGTGTTCGTGACAATAGTAAAGTAGATGTGATAAGTAAACTACGAGTGAGTATAACTATAAAAGAGTAATAAGCGTAGCTATATACTTATAAGGCGTATCCCGAATAGGTAACTAGGGATAGTATATTAATATATTAAAATAGACTGTGAGGCGTAAACCCTTTAGGCACTCCTCAAGACGCCAGCGAAGCGATCAACTACGCGTTTTTGATTAGGGCTGTTCACAGATGGATTCTATGCTTAGAACGATGAAATGAGGCTGTTGATGATTAATTTAATGTTGTTGTTGATGGAAGTTTAGTTAGTTAAAGAGTGGTGGCGGCGACGAGACGGAAATGGAAAGTGAACTCGTTAGAATTAGGATCGGAATAACTATAGATCTAGGAGAGTCACGTTATCTGTCTTTTCGCGAGCTAATAGATAAGCGCCGATAAGGGTAACTAATCAGAAGCGTAGCTGTTCGTTCAGTTTTACCGGTAATACTAGCTTAGCTAAAGCTTCGCTAGAATATAGTCTATACTATTATATTACTATATCGTATTTTTACCTTTTTAGTAGTTACGTACGATACGTAACCTAGCCTTATCCTTCTTCTATATTTCCGTTAGACTACTACGCCCCGGTAGACCTATCCTTAGACGCCCCGCGCTCTAGGTTATATGTAGGCCGTTTCTAACAGCCTTCTCCTAGGTTTAACCTATCATAGTAGGTAGTATTTTCCCTGAAGATTCTCATTATTACTGATAATTTCTAGTTAGAATACATACATCTAGGGTGCTAGGTCAATCCACCCGTAGCCACCTGGCACCCAAAAACAGAACCGATCCGCAAGAACAAAGTTGTAGTCACGTAGTTATGGTACTTTAGTTAATGAGCCAGACTATTAAAGAACGACCTATGTACTTGAAGCACACCCCAACCCCGCCCATGATAAGGACTATATGTAATAGAATAGATATATTATGGCACGACCACGGACCGCGCACCTTGACCGGACCGCCTTCCGTAACTTCTACATCTGCAGTTCGAATGTCTTCTCGCTATATTCTTGAAGACCAAAGCACTCCATTATTTGTCATGATGGCTCTACCAAAATCTTATTCAGAAACTTTCTGTACAGGTCTCATATTGTTCACCCTCACCATTTTATCATTCGGCATCTTGACCCTTTCACCAACATGGCCACGAAGGACATCCTTGACGGGGCCGCTGAGACTCATGTCGAAGCCCCCTACAGTGCCGTCATGGCTCCAGATGCTTCAAATGAGATGTCTTTGACGATTATGGAGACCATTCAAGCCAACAAGAAGTATATAGGTTGGTGCCTTCTCTTATCTATAGGCCCAATGGTCTACGGCTTCGACTTGATCATTGTCTCCTTGGCCACAGCAATGCCTGCATTCCGGTGAGATTCTCTCCTGGCACACTCTAGGCCTTCAGCATAAATGTCTTGTCTGAGGCTTGACAAAAGAACCGAAGCTAATTCGAATGCTCTGATACTAGAATGGTTTTTGGCTCAGAAGTCGGCCAGGTGTACATCGTTCCCTCCATCTGGCTAGCCCTGTGGAATTCAATGATCCAAGTTGGAGCAATGGCGGGGGCCTTTTCGAGCGGTACCATCTCTGATAGATTTGGCCGCAAGGTTACCTTTACTCTAGGCGCGATAATTGGGAATGTAGCTATCTTGGTTGTTTACCTTGCCGATCGGCCTGACAGTCTGCAAAGCAAGAGAGTGATGTTTCTCATGGGCAAAATCATTGTTGGGCTCGCGATCGGTCTTCTCAATACTGCATACTTGACGATGATATCGGAAATTGCCCCGGCAAGGATTCGTGGCCCGCTCCTCTCTAATTTCACTTTCTTCGCCATCCTTTCGCAGGTCGCTGCGGTGTCAATTGTTATAGGCGAAGTCCGCCACCTGACTGCAGATGCGTTTCGAGTCGTCTTCGCCAGTCAATGGGCTAGGACTGCCGTTGCGCTGATTGTGGGAGTCCTCGTTCCAGAAAGCCCGGTCTATCTCATCAGGAGGAACAACTTGGCAGGCGCCCTGAAGAGTTATAAGCGAATTCATTCACACGAGGATCCATAGACCCGCTTGGCTGCGTTGCAGACTGTTGTCGAGCATGAGATAATTGCTGAGCGGAATGCGGACTCCTGGAGCTATACAAAGTGCTTTCGTGGTACTAACTGGCGGCGGACAAGGATTGTTATCTACGCGAATATCCTTCAACAATTCGTTGGTATGTTGATCATTGGCAGTGACCATCAAGGCCATACTGATACTAACTAACATCTTACACAGGTCTCGCGATGATCCAAAGTTCGACTTACTTCCTCCAGCTGGCTGGCATGTCGGCCTATTTAACCTTGGAGCTCAGTCTTATCCACCTGGTCATAGGCCTGCCTATGCTACTCGCCTCCTACTTCTTAATGACTAGACTCGGGCGACGGACACTCTTCCTCTGGGGAGCAGCATCGGTTGGAATTCTCTGGACGGCCTTCGGTATCGCTGGTTGTTTCTCTCACTCCAAGTCAGCAACCTTGTAAGAAAGACCGTGACCAACTGTTTGTGCTACCCACAGCTAACTATTCTCCCGTCTAGATTCCTCGGAGTTGAATTAATCATTATCTACGAGGCCTTTGTCTTGGGCATTGGCGCAGTCTATCCTGTCATCAGTGCAGAAGCTTCCTCCGTGCATCTTCGCGCTGCATCACAGGCCATTGGGATCGTTGCGCAATTTATAGCAGCCTGGGCATTCCAATTCACGGTCCCCTACATGTACAACACCGACTCGGGTGATCTCGGCGGTAAGACCGGGTTCATATTCGCCTTCCTCAGCGCCACAGCCTTCGGCTCGAAATTCCCGAGACGAAGAATCGTACGTGGGCCGAACTGGACGAGATGTTTGAGAAGAGGATCCCAACACGGAAGTTCAGAGATTATGTTTGCGCTGGTGTAGAAGTGCCATTCGGTAAGGAGATTGAACTCGGTGAGACATAGAGGTGCTTGCTCTTCGGTGATGGAGAAAGAACAAATGATTCCGACTTAGAATTGTATTGTTTCTTACCGAATAGGCGGAAAATACCTGCGGCTTTTATGTCCTTGTCATTGGACATCGGACACTCTCAGGAGCTGATTAGTTATGGCCAACACGATACTCCCGATCTGTTGTGGAAGCCACGCCTTAGATATAGCTGAGCTCTCAGATTATATATTAAATTTACATACTCTCTCTCTTGATAGCTAATAATCGATAGATCTATATAGTCCTTACACGATGTGGTTAGCATCGATCTGTATGCTCACCATAATTTGCCTGTGCATGCCCACCCAAGCGCTATTCTGATCGTGATGTCCTGAGCCTTCCAATGAGCAGATACTGTCGGACTGGGGAAGCACGTGGGTGGGACTCTAGGCGCATGATTAGGATCTTTCCCTTGCATTGGTCACATCGACTTCTTACTGGGAGAAACGGTAGTGATCAATATCAAAACAGGTGACTTTGCGCCCTTCTGATCTTTTTGAGATGCATATGGCATATATCTGAATTTTTCTTCTTCACATTGGTTGGTTCTATTCTGCCTTGTCCATTTTCAAGCTAGCTACGAGGTGCGGGCTTAGTGATCGCCAATGGCCAGTTGGGAAGGCTGGAGGATCAAAGCATTCCGCGATTTCTGTTCCCGAGAGAGGCCACAGGGCACCAAACCTCCTCTTAGCTGGGTCACACCTGCGGACTTCTAAAGTGAAGATTGACGATCTCATTCTTTGCAGGGTCTCCACCAACACGGGCTATACGTTCACTCAAACTCTCACTGTTCGGGTCGAAGAACGGTTTCTCTCCATAGATGGCCGTGCGCTTTCCTTCTCTAGTCGTTGGATCATAGCCGCCTGGAATGGCCCTGTGAACGACCGATCGATTGTCCCAGCTAAATGACGAAAAGTTTCCGCAGTCAGTCTTTCTAGTTATCCTGAAATATTGTGTGTTGTGTAGAATTTTGTTTCCGACTCCAAAATCGCAACGCAATCAGGGGTGGTGGAATCCTCAAAACAACGAATGCAAGCAAACAGGACTTACAATGCAACACTGCCCGGCTCCCATTTCCATCTGACTGTCAAGTCATCGGCGCTATGAAGATGGTCGCGCAGGAAATTTAGAGTGTGATTTGCTTCTTGTCCCTTGAGTTCCGATATGTGGATGACAAATGTCGGATTGTAAAAGAGAGACTTGAGCCGCGTAACGGGATGGGTGCGAATCTGCGAGATTTATGAGTCGCTCTTGAGCTGCTCTTCTATTTCGTGGACCTTACCAATGGATGTTCTCGGCGCACGGGGCCACGGAATGGACGATAACCGTTGTTTAGCGAGTTGATGTATGATTGCTGTTGGTATTTCGTCAGTCAAGGTATGCCTCTGGACTCTGCGGTGAAAGACTTTGGATCCGGACCTCAGAACTGTGAACCGCATGCAATCCATCCAGGTATTTCTGATACGTCGGACTCAGTTTATCGTACAGCGCCGTTTGGCTGGTAAAAATGGTGTCGCCACCGGTCTCTGGAGTTCTAATCAATCGAAGCATAGTATAAGCCGGTGGGTTCGCCTCTTGCGAGTGATCAGAGTGGTATTCTCCTCCGAAATTCGAGTACGCTCGAATATCACTGGAACTATTAGCTATATGTTTCTTGAGCTTGAGGCTTCCCATGTGTCTAAACTCACTTGTTATTTCCCAGGATGGTCACATGTCGAGGATCTTGTTGGTTGGGATCACGGTCTTGCTACAGGGGTTTCGATTAGCATTTCTTCAATTTGATATCAGACTTTGGCAGGCTCAGCTCACAATGCCATAGTGCTTTGTCAATTCATGTTGCTGGTCCAGGGTGATATCCTGATCCCTGAAAAAGACAACGCCCCTCTGAATCTTGGTCAGCGGCTAGAACCCAACACTGGATTATTGTTCATCAAACCTCAGCGACCAGTAATGCAAGCTCATCTTTCTGGCTATCGGTAAGTTGGCTCAATTGAATGCCCACAAGTTCTGTCCCGATATATGGGGTCAAATTGCGGATAGCTTTGACCGCACTCAGAAGAGATTTTTTCTCAGGATCAGCGAAAAAGGCTCGATCTTTAGGAGGCTCGAATTCTTTGACTGGCTCATGAGGAGGCTGATAGGTGAGGACGGCCTCGGTTATTCCAGTATGCGTAGCCATGACGATTGGGAGTAGGGTAGACTGTTGATTATACAATAATAGGATACAGCTAATCGTCTGGCACAATCCCGCGAAGTTTTATAACTATGAAGGTCGAACTTCTGTCGAACTCCCTGAGCTCGCTGCAAGACGGCGCTTTTTGATTCAAAAGCCACTCCGGATTTGGGCGGACCCAATGGATAGATATCGACAAACGATTGGTAATACTCACCCGCTTTCTGTTACGTCTTCATTGCGATTTTTATTTTGTTACCCCCAATAGGTTCAATAAATCCAACAAGAGACCCTTCCACACCTCGGCTCCTTGACGCGATCAAACCTTGGCTGTCGCAGGGATACAGATTGCGCGAGGCGAACAACGCATGTCGCGATCTCCATCAGCAATGAGGTGCTATTACGCACCCGTGGCACCCCCACGCACCCCCCTGAGGTCTGATGTTTAGAGGATATAATATAAAAGGTCTCACTGGTCCTTTTCTTAGTGCCATAGCAACTGGATCCCTGATTCGCTCCTGCGCAACTTCGTCTTGTGGACATTGGTCCCCGACTCTGCCTCCGCCCTGCGATGTCAACCTCACAACAGACATTATCATCCAGCTCCTATCATCACGTTCAACTGATTATGTGCAGAATCATTTGGTCTAGGTTCTTGAGATCGCCCAAAGACAGGGTTTCGCCAACGACGACCTGAGCGACTGCCAGCGCCGTTCCCTCAGCTCCTGCAATGTTATCGCGGCGAATTGTAACACTGCCTGCAGATACTATGATCTGCGTTCATTAAGGAGCTTTCTCCCAAAAAAGAACTCATTAGGGCCAGGGCGAGAGACCCATTGCCATGCTTTCGCAATCGGCTCAGTTATTGACGTTACACGGGACGGCATCACGACATGGCTGAACACCGACGCTCATGGGGTCCAAAAGGGTTGGCACAGGCGGACATACCCTCCTTCCAGAGCAATCGAACTGTCATGGTTGCGGGCGTATGCAAGTTGACGTGCTCATCTTAGAAGATTCGCGATCATGGCCTCCAAGACGTGATCCGAGGCCCCCGGTTGGGAATGCAACTCTCCATGTGGCATGAACGATCCGACAATCTGGATTCTTCGCTGTGAAAAAAAGAGATAAGGGCGGAAGGACCCCTACCTACTAATCGAAATATCGGATTCAAGGAGAACATATTTCTTTTCAACTTTAACAAAGACAACATGTCTGGAGCCGGAGCACCACCCCCTCCTCCACCTCTCAAGAGCAATGCCGACCTGGGCATTGCGAACGACAAAAGAGCCGAACTTGTTGCAGACCACAAGGGCCTGCATTCTCCATCCTCGTCCGAAAGAGATGAAGACAGCGTCGATCTCAACAAGGAAATATATGATAGCACCGCGATCGATCCGGTGTTGGCGAAGAAGATGGCGCTCGCCAACTCGGCCATTGATGAAATCGGGATGACACCGTTCCAGTGGAAGTTGTTTTATCTCAATGGATTTGGCTATGCAGTCGACTCGGTAGGGAAACTTGGAACTTGTCTTTCGCTTCTTCCCACGAGTTCATAAGCCTAACAAACGAGTGGTTTGAAGCTTCTCATCGTCTGTCAATCAATCGCTGGGCCTGCCGTTGCTCAAGAGTTCGGAAACCCGACGCCGCGCCTGGCCGGGGTGGCACTCGCTTCTCAAGTAGGGCTGCTCTTCGGTGCTGCAATCTGGGGCTTCAGTGCCGATGTTATCGGGAGACGTCTGGCATTCAACTCGAGCCTGTTCCTCTGTGCGATTTTTGTCCTCATTGCGGGCGCCATGCCGAGTTACGTTTCGTTCTCTGCAATGTAAGCAAAGCTCCTATGCAATCTACCTAACCTATTGCGCTCTTGATGTGAGGCTTACGTTCTTCTGATAGGGTCGCTATTTACTCTGCCGGTGCCGGTGGCAACTATATCCTCGATGCGACGAATTTGCTCGAGTTCTTACCCTCCTCGCACGCTTGGCTGGTCACATTCATGGCAGTATGGTGGGCTGTCGGCTATGCAGTAACAGGATTCCTGGCCTGGGGCTACATGAGCAATTACTCCTGTGCCCCTGATGCGTCACCAGCAGAGTGCAACTGGGACGACAATTGGGGCTGGCGCTATCTACATTTCACCTGCGGCTCCCTTGTCATCGTCCTCGCATTGGCCCGACTTATCTTTGTCCGCATGCCTCAGACACCTAAATGGTTGATCTCTCAGAATCGTGATGAGGAAGTCATTGCCAATCTTCAGAAAGTGGCCAAGGATTTCAATCGGCCCCTGTCTCTTACTCTGGAGAGGCTTCAGAGGGAAGGGAGAGTGTTGCACACGGACAAGTCGGCCTTTTCTGCTCTACGACTGCGACAACATTTTTCACAGCTGTTTAAAACCAAGAAGCTCGCATATTCGACTGTCATGATAATCCTCAATTGGGTAGTCATTGGTATGGTCAGCCCTCTGTTCGGTGTTTTCCTACCATATTATCTGAAGAGCCGGGGAGCGGATGTCGGGGGCAATGACAACTATACAGTCTGGCGCAACTACGCATTGAACCAAGTCAGTGGCCTTTTTGGCCCCATCATCGCCGCAGTTCTCGTCGAAACTCGTGCCATCGGGCGTCGTGGCACTCTCGCAATTGGTGCCGCCATCACCACTGCGCTTCAGTTCGGATATACACAGATCAAAACCCCAGCGCAAAATGTCGGCGTTTCTTGTGCCATTTCGGCCGCATCCAACATCTACTATGGCACGATATATGCCTACACTCCAGAGATCCTTCCCGCAGCTCACCGTGCAACGGGCTATGCCATTTGTGTTGTCTTGAACAGGGTTGGAGGCATCGTCGGAGTGCTAGTCGGGAGCTACGCCAATGTTGAGACCACTGCACCGCTTTTCGTCTGTGGTGGCTTATTTGGGCTCTTGATTGTCCTCAGCCTGGCACTGCCCTTCGAGAGCATGGGCAAGCGGACTGTCTAAGTCCATCTCCGTTGGGTGCAAGATCGCTGTCACTTGGGTTCGCTGGCACATTGGCTCAACATAGTGATAGTTTCACGATCGGGTTAGTATTGGAGGTGGCCTCAAACAATCGCCAGCCTGTAAGGAGCTAGAATCGCAGAGTTTGCCCCGAGGACATAGATTCCGCAAATGAACTGTCTGGGTTCCAGGATCGAAGCAGTATCTACTGTGGCCCTCCACCGGTCTGGGGTCCCTGTTGGGGTTTAACAAGACTACCATTGCCCTCGCTTCAATAAGGCTTTCCGAGAGCTATTTGGAGATAATACAGTGAACAGCGAGAGACTATATCATTACACTAATTGACACTTCCCACTTCCCGCTCCCTCGGATTCCAACCGCCAATTCTTCAGCTCAACGTTAAACTACAGTCCTATAGTCCTACAATTTATCCTCTAGACGAGATGGACATCTCAACGTTTTCTGGACAACGTCGCACAGGGTCAAAATCGCTGCAAAGGGACTTACGAAATCCCACGAAATCCGGGGCCCCGCAAAGCTGTTTGTGTTTGTCTGGGGTCTGGGGTCTGGGGTCTGGGTCTGGGTCTGAATTTGGGGTTTGTAAATGATGGTGACTAGCCTGTGCTAGCATCATAGTGCTTATCAGTAATCAGCCTGCTACCAGCGACAAACTTATTGCTGAAGGAGCATAGTGGACTGTGAAACGGTGATATTCGGGAGGAATTCCAGGTGTCACGAACCGCCAAGCATAACTTATACGTAATAACCCCTTATTATTTACGTATCGTATGCTCACCGCCTAGGGGAAGCTTCCTTCCCTTAATTTACCCCTTTTCTTTAGGTCGATGCGGTTTAATCGGCCTTCGATATAGTCTCGCTTCGAGAGGTTAGTTTCGTACCTTCGTAGAAGGAGAGCGTCTCTATAGAGGAAGAAGAGGTTTTCCTTGAGATAGCGGTAGTATTAAAGGAACTTAACTATCCTTCGTACTAGATATATAGTTTCTAGGGCTCGAGTTCTTCCGAGCTCGACTCTATATTAGATCGAAGACTATCTCTTACCGTTGAAAGAGATAGAGGCCTTTAAGGGCCTTAGCCTAGGCCTTCGCGAGGGCTATCTAAGGCGTTACTACTAGATGTAACTTAATAGAGGAACATAGTGAATTCTACTAGGTTCTGGGGACCGTCTAACTATATACCTTCGAGTAATTTACAGGGCCCTACCGGCGCTAGTCCGAAGGCCTTCGGCCGAAGACTAGCGTGACGGTCATTACACGTCCTTAGCATCCCTACCAGTCATAAATTGACACGCTTGTCCGCCATCAGCACTCTTACCATGTCTGTGGACCTTGCCTTACCCGTCGAGATCTACTCAACCGACACACGGCTTTGCATGCACAAGTGATGATTCCACCACTAGGTACATTAAAACACATTGAAATTGCCTGTGAGCAATGTCGACATTCACGGGTCAATTGTGATGGGAGCCACTCGGTAAAGGTAGATATGTATAAACGTGAACCATGTATGTATAAATGTATGTAGCTTCTGACTTTATTTATCCCAGAATGCTAGGATAATAGCATCCAAGTCATGCGTGAGGGTTGCTGATACATACACACACACATACATACATACATACATACATACATACATGAGTGAGTGAGTGAGTGAGTGACCCCTCGCCTTTGCCCTTTGCCCCTTAGCTCAAACACATACCATAATCATGATCATCACCATCATCGCATCACCATTGCCATCGTCATCGGCCATAAACCGTCGGAAATAAATCAATCATGTACTGAATCCCCTCGGCGCGGTAGAGATCGTCCTCGACGTACATCAGGTTCGTGGCGTTGGTGTCAAAGACGATGTTTTGCGGCTGAGCCAGTGTGTAGGCCGGCCAGTGGATGGATGACGAGGATGCTACGAGAGAGAGAGAGAGTGAGGTTGTCAGCAATCGACGTTTTCCTCAAAAAAGGAAGAGAATCTGGAAAGATGGGACGTATAGGGCGATCATGCAGCTTACCGT